CCCCCCCAACACTGATCCAGGACACCAAAACTAGAGAGTATAGGCAAGAAGTCTATCTTAAGGAGTGAAAACATGTTTTCTTTAATTCTTAATATGCTGTAAATGCAATAATGTTTATTAAAAGGATGATGATTGGACAATGTGGTTGTTTCATTTCCTGTTCATTTAAGTCATCATCTTTCTCGGCCAAAGAGCAAAGCTCTAGCTGAGCATGTGCTTAGCAGGGGTTTCTTTCCCCATGACTTTGTCCAGTAGGCTTTAGTAATAGTGAATTCGACCCATATGGTTATCAAATATTAATGACCGTTTGCTTTTGCTACCAAAAAGCACAAGAAGGCTGTTGGATTTGCTTTAGTGAGATACAGTACATTTTGTGTGCGTCATTCCAAAAAGTAAAAATATTATTTGGATGTTAGAAAAAAAGAAAATGCCTACTCTGGTACCTTGGAGGTATACCATTTGTGAAATGCAGACAAAAAAATTGGAATTAAAAGTTGGGTTTCTTTTGAAGGGGGCCACTAAAGTATCTGCAAATGGAAACGGCTTAAGCTCATCAACTTAAATGTTCAACGGGTGGTTTGGTTGATACTGAAGAATTTCGGTTAAGACCAATAAAAAAAAAAAAAACTTAGATGGTTCAGAATACTGTGAGACTTTAATAAATACACAAAAAACAGTAAACCTTAAAAGAGATTGGAGAATAATTGGATGTCTAGACCTAAAACATATGAAAGGTGAAGGTGCCAGAGAGAGCCACAACATCTATTTCCAAGCAACATTCTAAAAATCACCTTTGCTTTCTCCCTAGAAGGAAAATATTCTAACCATGTGGTTTAACAAGACTGATCTGCTCCCCAGTATCTGTGAGGAATCCTTGAAGGAAATTCCAGTCTACATCCTAACAAAACTCACAATGAAATTGCTGAACTGCACAAAAACTATTCGGGGAAGAAAGCGACAGGCATTTACCAAATTGGACACTTTCATGTTCAAGAGGCTTCAATAATGATCCTTCCTTAAACTTTTATAATTATTGAAATCTCAATTTTCTATCCAGAGGTTTCTTAATTCAAAATATTTCCCATGTTCCCCTCGGGGTCAAAATGTTTCCAAAGGCTCTTCCACACATCAGATATCCCTTTTTTTCTTTTCGGTTGACCGATCTTTTCCTTAGAAATATCTAAACAAAGTTCCCTCACATAGGATTCCACAGAGTTTGATTCAGAAGAAGGTCTTCAAACTGCACTATAAGTGGAGTAAATCAGATTTATCTGTCATCCTCACTGCTTCAGCAGAGGCATATGCTGGGGTACTAGGTTTACGATGTTTTGGATAAATCCAGAAAACCAATGCGTGTGCAATGCAATATAGGGCTTGAAAATATCAGCCTCCACTTCTGAGGCTCTGCAGAGGAGTATATCCATGCCATAGCTGCCAGCATGAGGTCAGATTTTCTGGAGACTTTGAAGAGAGCAGCATCTACATTTTGAACATTTATTTCAGATATGTGTATCTTCTGATTCTCACTAAATGGAAAATGCCTTTGTAAAACTTCATATACTATCCATCCATTCAGTATTTTCAGCTCATACCACATTTCCAAAGCTGCAGAGGCCTCTTTACATCTTGTCTAGAATAATCAGTTGCTTCTTGCTTCTTGGATTTGAAGGGTTGTGTAAATTGTTTGTAGATTTTGTTTTTTTATCTGCTAAAAATATGAACTATGCCCTCTTTCTGGTCCCCTCTTCCAACAAGCTGTTAAGGAAGTCACAAACTTACCCTGGTTATAAAGAAACTGAATAAAGAAGAATTCGGATTGGTCACTATGGTTAACTTAAGCTTAACTTTATTTATTACAGGTATTTTTATAGCGCCGACAATTTACGCAGCGCTTTATATAGTTGCACATTCACATCAGTCCCTGCCCTGAAGGAGCTACTATTCTCATTTTCTTTTCTGCAGTTTAATGGAGTCGTTCCCAAATCCCAAAAGGCACCATTCACTTATCGCCATTTTTAGGCACATGCGTTTTCCACTGAAATTAACAGAAATGCATATAATCGCATTTTAATGTGCATTAATACAGGTTTTAATGCCCACACAATGTGCATTTCAATAAAAAAATAGCACATGTATGAATGCAGCCTTCAATACAGTGGGGGAAAATTGTTACCTCTGTCAGGTGGAGAAATGTTACCAATAATGTGTCTAAGACATAAGAATCTGATAGGGCAATGCAACCCACTGTTTCCAACCAAAAAAAGAAATATCATTTTTGCGGGGCGTTTTTATAAAATTATATCACAAAATAAAAGCAGCAGTTTAAGATGTACAAGTGACATGAAATATGCAGTTGGCCAACAGGAGTTACACACTGACTAAATGTTTTTCTTTACTGTAATAATGTCCTCTGATTTACCCTTAATTAGTCAGGGTAAGGATGCTTTGCCTTCAACAAAGCTGTGTTTGTTTTTAGCTAATGCTCTACAAAATAGTGTCATGCAATATATAAGAGAAGACAATTCAGCCAGTGGGATTCTTGCAAGCTAAAGAAAGCTTAGCATAAGCTAGAGAATAGCACGCAAAATAAATATTTAAAACAAGTGTCTGAAGCTAAAAATCCTTGCCCTATGTAGTATTCTAATGCCCACACAGCTTTATAATTATCTCAGTAATAACTATCAGCAGTGAATACAATCTGTTAGAATCAGGATTTTCTGACAAATCACCTTTACAAGCTCTGTATTTAACACTTCCTACCTATGACGAGTGTTAAAAATGTGACAGGTTCACTTCACTGTAAGGCATGTCTTTTAAGGCTAAACACCTGAGCTTCCCATTACACTTGTCAATTCGTGCACCTGAAGCAAATAACTCAAAGCAAAGTACAAATGTTACACAAAACCCTGGGAAAACCAGACATATGTTACAAAAATGTCATCACGTTTAACCTAAACTTACTCTTCTAGATGTTTTCTTAATTCTTTCTCACTCTCCCCCAGTTTCCCACGAAGAACCAAGTTTTCTTCCATGCTACGTTCAAGTTGTTCCTGGATGTCTTTCATGCTTGCCTTTGTTTTATTATTCTGTTCTTTGTTGCTTTCTTGACTCTAAGTTCATGACACGTAAAGACAGTTTTTAGTAGAGCTCAGACAAACTTTAAATATAAACATATTTACAAAAGGTGCACAAACCATAACACAATAATGTGATCAAATATTGCTTAGAGCGGTCTACCTCTGTACCTAGTTATTTTAGCAAAGGCATATTCTTCTAGAAATAAAAACCTTTATAATCTGTACTATTTCAGTTACCCAGGTTTCACGGTAACTTCCTACCTAATCTATTAAATAAAACCTTTCATGAGAAAAATATGTAGGCTGCCACTGCTGACCTTTTGAAAATGCTAGATACTTGGCTGTCATGCTGGTCTTTTGGTTTTTAAACTTTTCTAAGCCACTGACATGGAAAAGCATGTGTTAAAGGAAACCAGAGAAACCTGACCAATTCTTGGTCAGCGACTCAAAGTACTGAAACTAATAGTCAGCTTGGTATCGAGGCAACTGTCATTTTTTGAAGAAGAACAAGCTATGGATATGGAAGACTTCATCTATCTCGACAGGGTTTCCTCAATAGTACACAACGTATGACACAAAACGTACCTACTAAAAACAGCTTACGGCATTTAGTGCTGTATAAGTTGTACTTGGCATGGTACTAAAGTCAGCCTCATCTATTCTGGACTGGAAACCAGCTCAGTAAATACAGTCACTCAGTCTGGGCTAGAGAAACTACTTAAGTTTCAAATGCTTGTTCAAGGGCCCTCTCCTTTACTAATGAATAGCTGATAATGCCTGCCTAAGAAGGGTCACCAAATAAACTAACTTTCCTATTACTTTATTAATAAGGTCACTATAAAATAAAGTGAAGGTGATCGCTTCCTATCCATTATGCTTACAGATCTTAAGATTTTATATCCTCCTGTTGAAGCCAACATTTATAAACTGGAACAATGATATGACAAGTTTTTTTCCATAGGTGATGCACTAAAAGTGTATATCTGTAGTCAAAGCAGTTATTTTGTATTTTTTGGATAGAGTAGGGAAAAGGTTAAAATCTCATTCAATATTTTATTGATGCATTGGTCTCTTCTAGGGAGATTCAGCATCTATAATTGTCCTAGGAATTATTGCCATTAAAAAAAATAAGTGATTGGAAATCTAAAAATTCTACAGTTGTTACTGGAACAGACATCGCGGTAAGTTTTCAATGGGAATAACGGATAATCTACTGATAATAATCTAAGAGAGGATTTCCTCAGTGGGGACATTTTTTTTCTAACTGCCTGATGTGTCTCCAGTGCAGAAAGTCAAGGAAAATATCCCCCACTGGACAGAGGTTTTAACATTGTCCTACGCTAAACAAAACTAAAAAAAAAGTGTTGGCTAGAGATACTCTTCATAGCAACTACTGTATGTCCATAGTCATATTGCATGATGCTGCCAAAGGCAGGCATTAGAATTCAAATTAATTCCAACACCAGCCCAATAATCATTACATAGGAATTGTGATTCCCTGGCCTGAAATCTGTGCCCACACAGTCAATTTTAATGTATATGGCCATGTATAACATCATGCTCAGATTTAGAACACGGTATAACATTAAAATGTATAAACAACCAAAAAAAAATTCTATAATGGAGTACCTAACCACAAGGTAAATGTAAAGTATAAAATCTTTATTAACATACTGTATATAAAGAGACAATACCACCACTTAATGATTAAAATCACATATGATCGATAGAATGGCAAACATTCACATCTCTAAATATATGAATAATGGGTAATCAATCATATAAATCGTTTACATGTATCTCAAGTTAGGGAAATACAGCTTTGCAAAATGCTAATACCCATACTACTGTCACAAAAATGGATCATTTCACTTTGCATAGAAAAAAAATGCACATTGACATGGAAATGAATGATGAAAATTACGTTTTACCTTTGTTTGCTCATTAAGCTGTTTCTGGAGGACAACAAGCTTTTTTTCAAGTTCACCTTTCTGGTCGGTCAAAACTTTGATTTCTGCTGCTGGATCTGGACTCTAAAAACGGAAAAGGGGAAGAAAGCAACAGATGAATTTCATTTCATACAACCCAACAATATATGTTTTTAAACAGCCTGAAGCAATAGAAGCTTTGGAACACTCAGGAACACAATTTCAACTAGTATATAGCAAATAATGCATTCGGATTTGTGAGGCAAAATAGAGTAACCAAAGTAATGTCTGCTCGCTCCAACAAGCTTATTCAAGAAGGCAGTGAATGGAAGAAAATGTGTAAGCCCAAACTTGGCTAACTACAGGAGCATCTGTACAGCAGCACTTTAGCTGTTCTGCAAAGTACAACAAGATCTTTTGATCTTATCCTCCAAGTCTTCCATAAATGTAGCCATTTAAAGAAGCACATAAGCCAACATCAGCGAGGGTAGTCAACATCCAGAATTCTTAACCCTATTCTCTACTGATTAATTCCGAGGGCTGGTGCAGACTTGTGCTATCCCGGGACTGCGCTATTATGTGCGGTTCCACACAGCGATTGCCGTGTAGCCCCATTGATTTCAATGGGGTTACATCCGCACAGCAATCGCTGAAAAAAGGTACATGTATCTTTTTTTGCGACACGAACGGTGATCGTGCTTGAATGAATGGGCGGAATCGTGGCGGGAAACCACACAATCTGCCTGGCTCGACTGGGGTGCCATTATAAAATAATGGCACGGCCAGCGATTCCGTTTTGTGTACAATTGCCGCACCATCACAGATCACCCAAGTGTGAACCTGGCCTATGTTAGGCTGTCTGGCAGTTGGAGCCTGGTCCAAGACCCTCCCTGCCTACGGCTGGAAAATGAACGATCAGCAGCACATTGACAAGACTATCCCTGTGCTCTCCCCTCATGTAACTGTATCTACAGTGTTACGTAGCCAGCATACTGTAAAGAAATGCATGCTGGTGCTCCCTCTCCCAGCCTAAGTGCTGCTGTACAGAAGGTTATAGTAAGCTGATATGCAGTCAGTTTTTTTAAATAAATAGATGACATTTTATTTTTATATAACTGCCTGAGCCCTAAGCTGTAAAATCTTTCATAATAAATTGAATTTGTTATCTTTAAACCAGCTAATTCTGCTCCTCTGCATTGCATAGCAATCATTGCTGATAAAATCCCAATTGCCCAGCTCCCTGCTTAGGGCTTTTTTTTAATTATTACTCTGGCCATTTACTTTAGCCACGGTCTCAGTGTTTTCTTTCTAAAAATAAGGACAATTTTTCAAACTTTTCTCATGCATGAAACAAGCAAAAGTGATGCACACTCTAAAACCCTTTATTAAATACAACAGCAACCTCATTCGTGGGTTTGCACTGAACACACTAGCTCCACTTCAGTTTGTTATAAAAGCTACAGTAAGCATGACTCATTTCTCCTTCTACTACTTGAAAAGTACTCCTTTCTGTCAGTCTCTAAAATGCTTACCTTTCTCGGCTTTATGAACTTCATTCTTCCTTCCTGATCATCACTATTGTCTCAAGCCTACAGGACTTTTCTCATGCTGCTCATTTCAGGGGGGAACTCTCTTTCGCAGGCTACCAGACATTAATCAAACCTCTAAGTCTTAAAAACACAACCTATAAACCAGTTTGTAAGGATGATGTATAACCTCGATTCACAACACTTCTCTTTCACTACATGGTATTTAATGGTTTCTTCAATAACTACACTGCCAACACACAAATGATACCTCCAGCACTTCTCTATCTTTTGTATCTATACCTTTTAGATTATAAATTAATGCGGCCAGGGTGTTGTATATATAAAACACAGCCTGTATATGGCTTGGTGTTTTATAGTGCTGAGGAAAATAACAACACTTTAAAAATGACAAAATAACAGTAAATAAAGTGGAATAACTGTAAATGCAGTGATACCTTTTGTAAAGGGTCTGGGTAGAAGAAGTATTATTAAAAATATTACAACAATTCTGCACTGTCTCCATTTTCTAAATAGCAATAAACATCAAAAAGATTATATAGTATGTAAACCTTCCAATCTACAGCTGCCATTTAACCAGGACAAAAAGTGACTTTTTGATCATGTGTAATATAAAACAGGGATCTCACTCTCTTCTTAGAATACACATATTAAATGCATTATTCAAACATATCAATATAACATAACAAAAAGTAATGCAGATATAAAAAAAAAAAAAAAAATCACACAAATCCAAAATCCACATGAAAATTTACATTTATTCATATCCATGCCATCTCCACATTACACTTTTCACCTACAAATGATATATTCAGTGTTTACCACTACTCCTCAGATCAGACACTTACTAAACCATCTTTAACCATAAATCAAAGTGAACTTGACCTTCTATGATTTAGGGGTCAATATCCTTTGGTGAGTTTCTGATCTTAGGGGTGAAGATTCCATTTACTGGTGAAGAGTACAATTCAGAGAGGACACCGATTTCAATTAATATATTGTGGAGGACTATTATGTGGACTTTTGAATTTTGTATTTATAATATTTGTACCCATGTTAGATTAATACATTAGAGTTGCTGTTCATAATACGCTCTATCACTTTGAAAAATAATTACAGTATTTGTGTAACTGAACAAAAAGGCAAATACCAGAAATAGAAAAAAATGCATTCAAACATGCAAACAGAAAAGGCAACTGATGATGTGTAATAACAGAGCTCAGCCATTGGAGGCAAACATGGTAAATGTGAGCAATATTAATAGCGTGTCTAGCTTGTGCATTTTCCTTCATGTTCTAAAGAGTGCTTTACTTAATCTGCAAAAGAAAGTAGTCATGAGACTTGGATTAATAAACAATCATGTTTCCATATTTGAAAGTTATTTAAGGAGTCACAGGTTCCACAGGCTCTCACTGTAATTTAATACCATGCACAGTCAGTGAGATTCATACTGTAAGGCCATGGTGTACTACTGTTATTGTTTCCAGAACTAAAATGTGTTATTTAATGTCCAAGCTAATAGAACATGCAATAAAACCACTACTGCTGTCAAGAGAATTAAAACGGATGGAAAATTGTAATCAATTTTCTTTCTTTTGTTAACATTTAATAAGTTAAAGAGCGTTCAAATTGATCCTGTGCTCTAAAAGTAAAAGTACAGAACAATAGCAGTGCAACAAAAAAAGAAAATCTCAAAGCAATAAAAAGTTCACTAAAGGCAAGAAAACTATTACTATAAACAGGTTATTTTCTCCATCTATGCAAAGTGTAAACATCATTTAAAGAAAAGGAGTGCGACTATTCACCTGCACATTGCTGGATGCACGGGATTTTAAAGTTTGAATCTTTTCAAAGACCAAGTTGACTTTTCTTTTGGTTGCATCATCATTATCCTGACTCCTGAAATACAGAAAGGCATTTGTACTTTAAAACACAATCCTACTTTAAGCATACGCAGGGAATTTATCAAAACTGGAGCAGCCCATGGCAACTAATCAGCTTCTCACTTTCATTTTCAAAGCTCAACTGAACAAATTGAAGAGAGAGAAGGATAGAAGGAGATAAAATGATTGACTAGCACTAAAATTGAAACATAAAATAAAAACAAATAAATATAAAAAAAACTAAAAGTTTAGAAAAAAAAAATTTAAAAAAAACATTTTTAAAATACATTTTCAGTTTTGGCCTGACTTTTTTTTTTCGGTTTAAAAATTTTATTTCAGTGCATCTCTACTGAGAATGTGCAAGGTTTTCTAAGGGTCTGTGTTGACAGGCTTTTGGGCGCATCAGAAAGGTTTTGATTTCCACTTGAATCAGGTCAAATGCAGAACAGAAGTCAATTGGAGATAAAATGCACCTATCATTGAATTCAGAATGATCTCAGGAGCCTCTCAAACTGATGTACTTAGTGCCACTTCTGAAAAAGGTAGGGCTGCGGAAATTAACAATTAATTACTTGATTAATTGTTAACATTTTTAAATCGATTAAAATTCTTTTGATCAGTAATGAAAACACTCACCTCTCCTTCCGGGAGTCCCATCGGAGATGCAGTGACGTCACGGACATAGACGTCACCAGACTCCTCCCCCCTTCCCTTCGTTAGCTGACGGAGCCACTTGGGCCGGTGATCTGTCGACACTGAGAACTTATCGAGTTCTCCAACCGCCTGACTTCCGGTTTGGTTACAACCAAGAGGTTTGCCCAAGAAACTTGTTCTGCACGAGCGCCAGCCAAGGCATTGGCCTATACACATACAGCACATCAATGAAGTAATAAAATGAACTAGTATCACACTAATCTAGCACGTTATTATTCTGAGTTGCCCCACTCAAGCGGCGGCCATATTGAGTGGGGTACGTGAGATTAATAACGTGCTGGATTAGTGTGATCCTAGTTCATTTTATTACTTCATTGCTGTGCTGTATGTGTATAGGCCAATGTAGTTGGATCTGTATGTGCGTTATTAATCGAAATTAAAACATCGATTAACAAAAATTTGATTAATCGAACACGAAAATTTTAATTAGTACCAGCCCTAGAAAAAGGTTTTCAATTAAAACATAAAATACAGCCTAGCAGACACAAAACTGCAAAACCAGTTTTACCCATAGCAAAAACCCTGAGAAAAATGCCTGAGAATATGTTTTTTTTCTTTGTCGTGCAAATCTACTGTCCAGAGCACCGAGAGCTACATAGGGATCTTGTTCCATATGCAAAGTGCAGGTTTATCACTGTACCACCATAGATATAATTACTCTTTAACATTAACATAATATACACAACCATAATACTAACCCTTCTTTCAAATAATTAAAAAGTATCTGTTTTGCATTTTCTTCATGGGTTTGCTGTGCTAGTTGTTGCTGGCCCTTCAAAAGGTCTGGAGTCACCTAAAATAAAAAAAATAAAAAAAAGTTATTAAACAAAGCATTATAAAATGTAACTACTAATGCTTAAAAGGTTAGCCCAACGGTTAGCCAAACTCAGCTTGAGTTCCCAAGTTGAACCAGTAAAGGTTACCAGTAAAAAAAAAGCAGTTTCTTTTTGTTTTCTTAGAATTCATATTGGTTTTATCTGACCTAGTAAATAATTATTACTGTGGGTAGCTGCACCTAAAAGAAGTCAGATCCGGGCAAATCAGACTGAGCATATGATGAAAACAAAAACATAACCAGAGGTCAGGGAACATCATAAACCAAAACAAATAGTGGATACAGAAATGCTCAATTTACATTTCTCATGTTTGTGATAGGTAGTTAGGTAGGAAGGAGATACTTAGGAAGTTGTCCTATGCTGCAGCCCCCAGCCCACTCAGTCAGTCTAGCCTAATACTAAGCCTCAACTGCAACCTGGTGACCCCCAACATGGACACGACCAGCTCCTCAAGTCTGAGCATCGGCGCCACAGTCCAATTTATTCCAACTGGTTGTTGTACTCATGGCGGCCTCCAGAGGCTGCTCGGAACACACAGAAATCAATTGGGCTGGGGAGCACATGCTCAGACTAAAAAGTAGCCAGCTTGGTCCATGTCCGAGGTATGATCACTGGATCTGGGCTAAAAGTAAATATAAAGTCAGGCTGTCTAGGTGGGGGGGTTAAAGGTCACTAAAGGTGAGGTCATCCTTTAAAGTATATCTAAACCCAAGAACACATTTTTTAAACACTGCAGCTTAGCAGCTCTTAGAAGTGGTGGCTACATTCATCTACAGGCCAAGAACAATTTCTGCATGTTCAGAAAATACCTGTTGATCATTCCAAACATGCAATGTCTATGTAATTTTCTCTACAAAATTAACTGAAATCTCAAATAGCGTTATCTTCCTTCCAAGCTATCTTCTGTAAACAACATATTCCCCTGCCCCCATGTAATGGAGATGGAGAGGAAGTGGAGAGCATCCTAGAGTGATAACATTTGTCCTACATAGATATAGTGAATGACAGTAGTCACCTTACGACAGTTGTTACCCTAGAAGTGTGTTACTCGGAGGCTCACAAGGTAAAAATAAAAAGAAATAAAAGTCTGAAAAGAAATTAATGCAACTACCCCACCTAACTTGTGGTATTATTTCCCCTTCTAAATGTAATATTACATCCTTCCCTGGTAAACAGAAAAAGTCAACTAATAATTAATCCATGTATTCAAAACACTGCTTCTGCACATTGCACTGATTACAAAATCAATCAATGTTTTTTGCAGAGGGAAAATTGACTTTCATTAGATAGTTCAAACTGCAGATATACATAGAACCCTGTGGATTATCCTCCATTATGTGCCGCTTTCCATTAGTGTAGCCCTCCTGGCTTCTCCACAGGAATGGAATCATTCTTTCTCTTATAGCTTTATCTTTGCAGTCACATATTGAGAGCCAAGTAATGAAAGATACATTTAACTCCTTCCATAGCGGCAGGACTATCAGACTCATGGCTGAAATCATTCTAATGGGTGGAGAAGGGTCTTTACCATGGTCAGGAAGTGCCTTCAGAATGCAGTAATTTTCCACCCTAATGTGTACATAAGTAATGAACTGATAGTCAGGAGGGTGTAGTAGAGATTAGTAATACGGTCTCAGAGGACCATGATTTGTCACATGTCTCTAGTGTACAGTGGCAGGCCAGAACTCTTCATAGAGATATACTGTACTTACAATAACGTGGATTATCCTACGATTATCCTATTATGTGCGGCTTTCCATTAACGTAGACATTTCATGTCTAAAATGTAATTCAGCCACTACAATAAACGTATTGACATTTGAAAAGACACCCTAGTTTTTGGAGTCCATCGAGCCATTGATGTTTTCCTTACAGCCGAAGTTTTCCTTGCAACTCTCCCACACACCGCCATTTTCAATTGAGGAATATCAGGAGCTGGCTGTTACTTCCTGACTTTTACAGCTAGTACCCCCCCATGATGATGCACTACTAGATCCACACGGAGATCTAACTAGCTGTTGTCTTTTATGAATGCTCAAAATCTTACACGATTTTTGCACTTACTGTCCCACAGCCTTCTGGGATGTGTGATGTGAATATCCCAGGAGGCTGCAGGTGTGTGAGGATATGTGCTTCTCGTCTAGATGAGTAATAAGAAGGTGGCATGGGAATTCACAAAAAAATTATTTACTAAATGAAAAAAAGTGAATACATTTACATGTAATTATGTAAGGATGAGGGGGGAATTGAGAAAAAAAAAAAGTACCAGGTCTGCTTTAAGCTGTTTGTGAAGATACACAATAAACACAAGCAACAGATCACTTTGGAGGGGAAGAGTATGCCCTAAAATACAATGAACCTCATGTCTGAAATGCATGCTGGATATTCTGTACACATTGCTCATTTCACCATAGATGTTCAGGTAAGCTCCTCTGCACAGTGTCTCTATCGTTGCCTTTGGATGCCATTGCAGAGCCTCATTTCCCACAAATGAAAGGTTAAATCCATGTCCCATCCCGTCTTCAATAAATTGATGGGGAACAGCTATAAATAATTTTCAACAACATACAGTATGCTGGAAACTATGTAAGCTTTCATCATTAGGTGCTGATAGGTGGGAATGACAGTGTATAAATGGGCCCAGCTAGGCACTTACAATTCTAAATCAGAGGACCCCCCAACCTGTTCTGTCAAATGGCACATTCAACACTTCACAAAAAACCACAACAATTTATAAATTCCTACTTTTGCATTTTTCCGCACATGCCAGAATGTGAAAAAACACATTCTAGCCATATCAAAGCCATTGTTAAAGATAGAGCTTGTTCACATCTGTACACTGCAGTGCATGTTAGTCAATAGGTCAAGTCCATTTTTCTGCCTACCTTCATGCATTTTGAAGCCCATAGAAGTCAGTGGTAACACATAAAAATGCAGGTATAACATGTTTTGCGTGTGTTTTCAGCCCCTGGTAACAAGACACTCCCCTGGATACCTGCCATTTGCTCAATCTCAGAGCATAATGGCTGAAGGAAAGGTGTTGGATGCTGAAATGCTCAGCCGGGAGAATAGCAGATACCCCCTCCTCTATGACCCCTCCCACTGCCACAACACAGACAGAAAGGGAATAGCCTGCGAAACCATTGATGGAAATGTTTTCACACAGTGGTCAACATTCAATTAGTTAAGAAGGGGAAATGTTAGTAGAACCTTTGCCTTTTTAAAAACATCAATACACACCACAAAGGAAGCAGATTCAAAATCAATGATTCTTATTGTTTTTGGCCAACAAGAGAAATGCAATAGAAACTCACATCAACAGGCATTGGAAAATGCCTTAAACAACTGCATCAAAGCAGAAACAAAAAAGGTGAACCTAGTCTAAAAAGTTGTATAAACTATGTGACCTTTGTTGGACTACATTGTTATTAAAAATGTGGTATTCAGCAGGTATCCAGGCAGACTGTTATTTAAAATTTACCACCCACTGAGAGGTTGCCACAATCATCATCATGGGGAATTCAGTGCTAGTTTACCTACTGTTGAGTGAACACCACTTTAACATTTTCATTTTATTGCAATTTAGTTGCTCTGCATTTTTTTGTTTAGCATGTAATCTTTACTGAAAGTTTTTTTTTTTTTGGACAAACAGATCAATTTACAGTAGTGTAAATGTAATCAAACATACATAAGTAGTATCAATAGAAGAGAACAATATCGAATAACTTCAGAATCGAGAACAATATCGAACTTCACAATCAATTCACGGGAATTGCAGCGGAGTGGGCAGGCGGGGTGAGGAGCGGAATACAATGACTAGGAGATTGACAAGTGGATGCATAGCAGTATTAGTATATGAGCCATAGGTTGGAACGCTAAAGGACATCTAATGTAATTATGTAAATTACATGTAAGGCCGCTTCCTCCCAAAGAGCAAGCGGCCTTAGAGGCGAGATACCATTTTGTGTCCTGGAATAACAACATCACGTCCTTAAGCTGTCCTGTATCTAGTTTGGTTAATAGAAACGGGGTCCAGGTGAGAAAGAACAATTGCCCTGCATTTTTTTGGCTCAAAATTGAGACATGGGCTATGATAATCATAGACTACATATGTACAATAGGTTTAATATAGTGGTAGTCCGTTTTCGATTGAGTACAGATGGTTTAAACCACTGTTGGGTTAGTGCCAGAGCTTTGCCCATTCAGCACAGCCAGCATTCAGCAATAGCAGAAGGGAATGATAGCTACTGGTATATGCAGGTATCTCTTTTTTGTGGAGCCGCCAAATCCTGGACACATGCTGGCTACAGTACCCATTTTTTCTATCTCACAAGTCTTTATACCCCATCATCTCACAAAGCAATACAGAAGACTAGTGGCCAAAAGGGATGTACATGATTGACTGATGGGTGGAGCTGTGTTAAAACTAGGGGTTCATGAGGAATCAAGAAGTGTTTACCCAAAGTTGGAAGGTATTAGCAAGCATCTTGTGGTGCCTTTTTGTTTCCAAACATAGTGCTAATATGTTACACAAAGTGATAGGATCACCATAAAGTGCATCTAAACCCACAATTTTTATAATGCAGTTTACCAGTCCTTAGATGTGGTGGCTGGTGATCCAGCCAGTAACACTGTTCCTGTCCAAGGGTTTATATACGCTTAAAAAAAAAAGGTTTGATGTATCTTCGATAAGATACAACTCATCCAGTGAATAGAAATCATTATTAGCATTACATATGTCAAGTGTTTTCTGCAGCTTTCTAATCTGGCTTTGTTTGATGTGATCGTAGCAACACCGAGTGCCTCCTGAAGATGTTACATAATTATTTATTAACTCTTTGTAAAGAGGTATGTTTCCATGTATTACAATCTGACAAGGCAAGTTGGCCGGTTATAGCCCTTCAAGGGTATAGCTGGGTGATTAACAAGACTGACAGGGCATTTATTAAAATGATTGGGGTCACATCAGTAACGCCAGATTTCTATAACAGCCAAGTTTATAAAAGTTCATTGTGAAAAGGGTAGTGTGTGGCTCATGACGTTATTGCCTGTCAGATGCCAAGCTTCAGCTGCTGGTCCTTGTGGTTTGATCTCGCTTTACTCCAGTGAGACACTTTTCTAGTGTGCATATCCCATTCAGAAGTGAGTTTCATTAAAATAAATGTCTAGAAGGTATATTTGTAGAAATAAAAACACACATATAACTAAAATTAGCATTCTTTTATACCATGATGGAGATAATGTAGAACAACTTTTGCAATAAGGAACTGTTCTTATGGGTGACTCCTTTTCTGTACATTTTTGTTTTTGGCTTTCCGACCCAATATTGATGTGTTCATGAGACGATCTGCAGTATATTTCAATGGAACTGTACCATTTGTCAGCATTTTAGAACTCTTAGAAGCTTTAGGCACATGTCCACAACTGTGGTTCTTCAGCTGTTCATTGAAAATACTTTACAGTAAGCAAACAGCTACCAAACCACAAAAAAATTAGGAGCAAAATAGTATTAAAAAAAAAAAGTGACTCAAACAAATGTCAGTGAAAAAAATAAAAAAAAAATCAATCACGTGTAAAGTCTTTAAATCTTCATAAATCCGTGAAAGATGTCCAAATATAGCAATAGTGATGAATATTACTTGTTCGATCGATAAAGATCGATAAAGATTGGAGGCTATTGCTTTCCTATTTAAGAAGTGTTGCACAGATCTGTTTGCTGGTCTGATTAAACCATTGGAGGACATCTGTGAGCGATTGGAGCTGAGGGCCCCCTCCCCTGGTTAAGAAGGGAATTGCCTGGTTTGACCTCTTGCTGAGGTCTATCAATAAGGTGAGCACCCCTATATCTGGTGTGGTGCACGTGGTGCATTTGGTGAAGGAACAAGTAATATTCATCACTATTGCTATATTTGGACATCTTTCACGGATTTATGAAGATTTAAAGACTTTACACCTGATTGATTTATTTATTTATTTTTCACTGACATTTGTTTGAGTCACTGTTTTTTTTACTCTTTATATCTGATCATTGTTTTAGCTCGGCACATTTAGTTATTCATTTTTCACGTATACACACTCACAGTGGGTGTACATTCCAGTGCCTTGTAGCTGTTAGCTTGCTTATTGGCGCAGTTCATTCTCTATATTTTATTATTAGCAAAATAGTATTGCTGTAACGGCTTACACAAATTAGGCTTTCCAGGAGTCTAAATTCCATCCTGTCTATAAAAATCTAGCCTTCTAGAAGCTCTCAACATCCAGTCATACAGTCTGCATCACATTTCTTGCACAAAAACATAGCTACAGCATATTCAAGTGTTGGGTTTCTAGTTTACATTTCAGAAATGCAAATTTGTTTTCAACTGTTTTTTCTTTAATTCTGCATACCGTTAACCAGATTTCTTGTACTTTTTTTTTTAAACACACAGGACCGAAACTTAAATCAACGTATTTAAAATACATTATCCATTAAATGTAAATATTTGCACTAACCTGTGCACCTTGACCTGAACTGTGTGTCTTTGCAGAAACACTTCTTTTTGCCTCTTCTGATGGGCCAGTGTTGTAATGTAACAGCTTCAAAGAGGACTTCATGGTTTTAACATCTCCATTTCTCTTGTTTTGCCTTGGTAATGTGGCCGAGTCAGTCTCACTGAATGGAGTTAACATGCTATTCTTGGTTTCTTTGCAGTATGGCAAATAACTATAGCTTTGCTGGTGGGCATTGTCTGGGGGTGAGGCTTGGCTGATAAGGCTCCCAGTTGTATTTTGCCTTTTAAAGGGAAGTTTATAGTTCTGCATATGTGGTTTCTGCTGGCAGATCTGAGATGGCCGTAATAAGTGTTCATTTGACTTGCCTAAATTTCTACTGAACTCATTTAGGTAATCTGTATTGCCTTGTAAACCAAATGGTAGAGCACTGTCAACACTTCTAGCTCGCTTCCTTTCCTCTGGATTGATCCTATTCCGTTTGGCAGACCTGCCTCTTCTTTGCACAGGGATAGTCGCATCAAACTTTTCAATCAACTCATCCACTCCAGGAATACATCCAGTATCAATATCGCGACCTGTCCCAGGTACAAAAGGAATATACCTCCGATTTTCATGCCGGTTCACATTATCAGCATAAAGAGCATCCTCTTGCTCTTCAAGCCAAAACTTTTGTAAAGACTGAGATGATGTTGCAGTTGCTGAAGAACAGGATGATCTACGTGAACGAGGTCCTTCAAGAGGCTGGCCTGAATCCTGTCTTTTAAACTGAAGAACATCAGGCCGTGTTCTCCTAGACTCAGCAGTAATGGTTGAGTTGGTACTACATGGAGATCCATTACTGGAAGAGAAAGACTCTGAAGTATTATTATCACTAGTACTACTCAGAATACTTGTGTCTGTTGGTGACTTGATTTGGTCTTCTTTCTTGGAAGATGCTTCCTTACCATTTAATTCGACTGTATCAGTCGACTTACTGCGCACATTTTTAAATGTAGCTTCTTTAGGTAAAGACATATAACGCTTGGAATCCTTCTTACTTTGTTCTTCTATAGTTGACACACCAGAGTTATTTTTAGATGACTTGTAATTGTTTTTGTTCAAGGAGTTTTCATTTGGATCATAGGGTTTCAAAAGCTCAGGATGTCTTTGAAAATTCAACAGGCTTGTTTTTAGAGATTCATCTTCACATTCAGAGGCGACAGTCCCAGAGCGGAGATAATTACTTTTATTTGAGGATTTGTATGACTTGTATGGATTTTCTGGAAAATCCTTGTCATCTGTCCTTAGAGAATTTTGACTGTTCTTTAAATTCGGTAATGATCTGTCTTGTGATAGATGTTCTGTTTCAGGTGGGGGAATATTACGTGATGAATAGCCTTCTTTATTATTTAACACAATGAATGGATGTCCATCTATTCCTTGGACCCTGATACTAACACCATAAGAACCTTCCTTTATATTATTTCTTGTTCTTCGTTTATTTTCTTCATTGCACTGTAAGAGAACACCAGAGTCTTGCTTGTATTTTAGTCCATCATACCGTGGATCCATTGTAGTCTACTGACTCCAGCTGCTGAAACAAGACATTGACAGAGAGTTATTTTGCTGTCAGCTATAAGAAAAACAGAAATGATAATCACCACAAGCATGCACCTACAATATCAATAACGTTAGGACCCCCCTCCCCAAAATAATGAAAAATAAATAAGGTGGCATAATATATAAAAATGAGTCTAATAATTTTATAGCAGTGTAATAACCTTAGTGCTTCTTTCTAATGTTTTCCTAAGGTTAAAAGCTGTTGATGTACAAGAACAGGAACGCTTAAGGGATCCCAGTGGAACCAGAAATTCCAGACAATAGATCCTATTGTAAATTAAGTGAAAGTACATTACATGAATCTATGGGCCTTAAACCCTGTTTAAACATCAATCCAAGTCCTACAACAGGGGTATAAACAGGACTAAACATGCCTCAGCATCGAAGCATCGTAGTTTTATGTTTATTTAATATTGGAATCCCTAATAAGCCTTTGTATAAGAAGGGATTATTTAATAAAGCAGTAAAGAGCCATGATGAACATGGTTCATTAACCAATAGGATTTCATGTTTAAGTAATGAGACTCTGCACACCAATTGGCCATATGCACTTAAAGTGTATACAAAGCTAAAACCTTTTTATTTAGTTTTGGGTAGCAAAGGGAATGTTTGAACAGCTATCAGGAAAAAAAAAACATTAAAAAAACGGTGTCTTATTGGTAAGATTTTCTTTTACTTCCTGTTTCAGGGACAATAGGAAGTAAGAGGAGATTTCTTCAAAGAGAGTGGATATCCTTTTCTTAGGAGGTTGTCCAAGAGAGGGTGACTTCCTCAAACAGAGCAATAAAATCGTGACTGGGGTTCTAATTTTTCCATGTATATGTTTAACAAAAAATAATATATATATATTTTTTTATATATTATTTTTTGTTAAACATAGCTTACTTTTTTAATAAAGTGAGAAAATGTTGCAGGAGTTGCCAATTAGTCAAATGTGTTTGTTATTAGCTCATAACAAACACATAACCCACAATATAAAAACAATACTAGCTGTGGATTATACCTTTATTTAAAGTACACCTATATGCCAATTGTTGCAAATATATGGTAGAGGTTTGTGGCAGTAGTTTGTACTGCCACAAATACTAATTTGTGCTGCCTACTGCACTGATTTCAGCAATAAAATTGTATACAGCACGGTGTGTTTTCTATGTATACCTTTGAAGGTTTTATGGCCGTACCTATTTGTGGTAGAGTACTTACAAACAGGTACTTATGAACTGATAACAAAATATCACAACTTTGGTTTTCTTAACTTTACCAGATAGTGTGTAAAAGAACTGGCACTCTATCTCCTCACAATCTCAATAAGGTATGACAGTATTACTCCTGCTGCCAAGCATTTATTTGCAAAGGTCACTTAACAGGTCTGCAAGGAGTTTGCATGTTCTCTTGTGCTTGCATCGGTTTCCTCCAGTTACTCCGGTTTCATCCCACACTCCAAAGACATGCTGGAAGGGTAATTGGCTCCTGTCTAAACTGGCCCTGTATGCATGTGCGATAGGGAGCTTAGGACAGGGATTGATGTGAATGTGCAGTATGTAAAGCGCTGTGTAAATTCTCTGCGCTATTTAACCACTTCCAGCGGGTTCACGTAAATGTATGTCCTCCGCTGGAAGTGAAGAACACGGCTGCTGCTGCTGCACTGTCCCTCGTGTGAGCCCGGGGCAGGCGTGGGGGGTCTCCCCTGATAGATCAAACTAGAGATCAGCGGCTTCTAGCCGCTGAGCTCTCCTTCGATCACTGGACCCGGAAGTGATGTGCATTACATCACTTCCAGTGTCGCTGCGCTCAGTCTCCGGCTCCTAATGCCAGAAGAAGCTGGTGAAGCAGATCTCTGCTTCATCAGCTTCTTTGGGGTCTTGTTAGCCCCCTATGCAATAGCAATAATGCGGAGTGTAAAAAATAAATTAAAAAAAATTGTAAAAATTGAAGTTACATTAAAAAAATGTAAAATGCAAAAAAAAAAAAAAAAGTTTAAAAGTCCCCCGCCCCCCACACAACACAAACATGTCTGGTGCAAAAAAAAAAATTGTGCCACACGTTACATATCGTCGTAAGCGTCTAAGTGAGAGCAATAATTCTAGGCCCACTGTCAGGACTAAACTGATGAGCCGTAAAAGCGTTTAAAGAGTCGCCTATGGGACATTTTGGTTATTGTAGTTTTTTGCGGTTTCACGGACGCATGCAATTTCAAGGCTTGACATGTTTGGCATCTATTTACCCGACGTGACCCCATCATTTATATTTTACCAAAAAATTGGGCATTATATTCTGTTTCTGTACACTAAATTAAATTTTAGTGCATTTCATCCTAAAAATACTTCTTTGATAAACATTTGCGCAAATACCTTGCAACATAAAAAAATAGCAACTACCGTGTTTCCCCGAAAGTAAGACCTACCCCGAAAGTAAGACCTAGCGCTATCTTCAGGGATTTCTGTAATATAAGACCTACCCCGAAAATATTCCCGCCCACACGCCCGCTGGAAGCGGAATATCATCCGCCGACACCGGGACCGGCAACAGCACGCCGCCTTCCGGGACCTCGTCCAGTCCTCCCCCAGCCAGGTAAGACATGCCCCGAAAATAAGACCTAGTGTTTTTTTTCGTGCAAAAAAATAAATAAGACAGTGTCTTATTTTCGGGGAAACACGGTAGCATCTTTTTATTCTACAGGGCCTCTGCTTTCAGAAAATGTATCCTTGTTTGAGGATCTGAAGCGGTTTTCTAGCCAAAAATTCAGATTTTATCATGTGTGTGCAAATGTAAGAAATTGCTCTGGGCAGCAAGTGGATAAATACCCGTAATTAATAAATAAATAACTAATACAGGGTGATTCTATGAACTTAAGACCCAATAAGCATAGTTACAGTTTATTAAAAAAAAATAGTAAACATGTCAATCTCTCATATACAGAAAGCTATCAGCTAATATCCATAGTACATGTCAAAAATAATAATAAAATAGTAAAAAATATATAAAGTAGTATCAAAATGAAAATAGAATTTTTTTTAACATTCCAGACAATTAAATTATTAGATTTCAGAGTTCTTAGATTTCTGAGTAAAACAATTTGAGGGCATATGTTCTATTGTTAGAGGATGTGTTCTACCTGAGCAATGTACAGAAACTAGTACTAGTATCCAGCTGGAAAGTGTCCTGTAATTTCTACATTTAATGGAATGTTCGGGTGTGTCTGCATACTTTCATCTTGATTATACGTTCAAATAATAACTCACTTAGCAAGCAAAAGAATTTATTTGGGAGTGAAAGCATGGTTTCACTCCCAACAAATAGCATCTTTTGCCCATGAAACAAAGGCTCAATGTGCAAGGATTTAGATGAAATGCACGAATGGTCAAATCTATGCTGTTCGAAGTGAACTGACATGTACATTTTACATATAGAAATGGCCATTTCTAGCTAGGAAACATCCTGTCACAGATCCCACCACTAACTCTATCCCTGCAAAGCGGTCTAATCTTTTTGGGAGGACAAGAAGTTGATACACTGCAAACAAAACACAAACCCCCTCCCCCCCCCCCCCCAAAAAAAATGTAACATATTGACGGTTACTAATTATTAAATGTGGTGGCTGAATTAGTTTTGTTTTCTTTATTTTCACCTGGTGATTTTGCCAGTAACACACTTTCTGTATTAGGGTGGCTCCACTCTACGGAGGTAGCAACAGAGTCACCCTTGGACAGCAGCATTTTCACCATGTGGGTAGGGTAGTGCATTAGCAGATTTGGATGGACTTGAATAATCAACTTAATCTGAACTCCGGATAACACTTTTCAGTTTGTTATTCCTTTTGGCATAAAGGTTTTACATAAATGAATAAAAGCTGACCATTGTAAGCACCCCGTCGATGTTAAATGATTTGTCTCAACCCTCTGTCTGCCACTTTTGCTGGGCAGCTTGGCCTGTTAAAGGAAGTTGTAAAAAAAACAGACTTACTGGCCAGAGCAGCAGAGGAAAATAAAGGAAAAGACCGAAACGAATGTAGCCACCACATCTAAGTCTTGGTAAGCTGCAATTTCTCACATTTTTTATTCTGAGTGTAGATACACATTAACTCAGTAACACTATCAGTTTAGATTACTTAACAATACTAATACTTAAAATGTCCTTTTATGTTGTTCACAAAACGGCTTGACCTCCTTCTGCTGATTTCCCAATTATACACAAGGGTGCATGCTTTACATAACTTGGCAAGTCATCTATTTACAATGCAGAACACGTATTAAAGGAACATTAAAATCTTTCGGTATTGGTATGTGGCAAGCGACGAGATTCTCATTTCATGAGTAATGTTGTTATGCAACTCATGATGAAGTTCACCCATATCTGAGTATGGCATTCATGTCTTGGGAATGTAGGGCACAGATGTGTATATTGCATATGAAACCGATTAGTGTGTTTATACAAGACAAGCATTTGTGCTCAGGAGAGGAGAGTTTTATATTAAACTTGACTTTAGTATATTTCCACATACATCTATTCAATGGAATGACAAACTTCTTTTCCCTATCAGTGTACAATAAACTGATAACATTTTATGTGACAAAAGAAAATCCACAATCCTCCCAACTTGGGGGTAAGGGAGGTAAAGGTAAAGGATGCTGTAAAATCGAGAGCCTAATTAGTGTGGATCTTTATAAGCCATATAATGTTATAGTGTGTGTGTGTGTGTGTGTGTGTGTGTGTGTGTATATATATATTATTATTCTTTGAGCATCGCATTTTTCAACACATATTTGTGTACGTTTGTCATACGTCAACCTGTGTGAAAAGACACGCGTTTTGTCTGCTGCGTTTGGGGTGCCATTAACAAATAATGGAAGTGGTGTGAATGTTTTGGCACGCATTCACAAGCATGGCAAGTGTGAACAGGTCTATTTGGAATCTAGTAGCAATACAACAATCATTTAGCGCCTTTGACTCTCCTATAATTTTCCCCCAATAAAG